GTTCTATAGATGAAAAAGGTCTCGTTGTATTAACCTAATAAGTGCCCCTCCTCGTGCAACCCATAGACTTGAGCTATGTTATAACTATCTTAATCTCCTTTGATGCAAAATCTAGTCAATATATAGTATAGTTTAAACCCCTTAATGCTATATTTTTCCAAGGGTCCGTTTTCCGGAACTTAGAAGCACCCGCAGAAAATTTACTTGGGGTCCTACAGTGATATCGTCACCCAATGACATGAAGCTCACCATGAAAAAACATGGTTCAATCCTTTTTTCCTGCAACAAACTGCTCCGGAACCAGGGCGTAACACAATCCACACACAAAGCAGTAGGCTTGCTTTCCAGCATTTCACAAGCACCGTTCCACATTTTGAGTTAGGTTGTGGATTGTCAAAAAGAAATTCACAGCTTTGAAGAGCTCCGTAATCTCAGAACTGGATTCTGCATCCAGCAACATTCATTCAATAAAAATACGGTATGGGCAGTGGTTGACAACTCCCTCACGCAAACCATTTGAGATACCGAACTTTGGATTCAAATTTCCAACAAGTCAGTGCAGTTTTTGTAAGCATCCAGATTTTTTCCACTTTTTGATGAGGAGTCGTCAGGCAAATCCTGGTTTGAAACAAAAGCCATGCAACTCTCAGACCCACAGATCCGCACATGTTTTCCAAATCAAGTTGATAAAGTCCTGGAGTGGGGTCACCATGAGAAATGGCGACTCCCTTGACTCAGCTTCGCTGACGCTGGAATCATTTTTCTGGATGATGAGCACCAACCGAACAGCCAGTTAAATCAGTCACTGGTCTTTGGCCAAATCCTTCAGTAAGCTTCTTTCAAAATGAGTCTTTGGCCAAAGCATTCGTAAGCTGCTTTCAAATGAGATATTTTCAAGGCATGCTCTTTTTTGGTTGCAGAAGATAGCAGGGAATCTTGCACAGCACACTCCAGCAAAACATTTTCCAGTTCACAGTCAAACCCTATCAAAATTGCTTTGAAACTAGAGAGCTCTGTGAATTTGAAAGCGATTATCGACCTGGCAGTTCCAGTGTAGTATCAGAATCAGAATCTGGCTCGCCAAACACCTCACTCACAAAATTTGGCTCGGAGACAGCAGCTCGCTGCGAGTCTGGTGCGGAGGAACCTGTAGCAAGCCGTTCAGGAAAATCATTACATCATGTTAGTTTCGGCTGCACACATGTCGGCCTGCCGGAACATTGGTGGCAGTGGCAACGTGTAGACCCCCAGATTCGCAAACAGCGGATTGCAATTCGTCCTAGGACCAAGACATCATTCAGGTTTCGGGTATAGCATCACAACATCAAAAGTTAAGGAGTAAAAGTCATTTGATTAATTTGGCATGTTGCAATGCAGCGAAGCAGCGACGAGGATCCGGCATGTCTCAAGCTCTTCCCCATCCAACAAGTGTTTTCTTGCAATGATCTCAGTTAGGCAAAAACAGACAGTACCCAATGGTAAGATGTTATTTCGAAACGGTCCCAAGGGCAGGGCCGCGATCCGAAGAGAATCCTCCCGGCTGTGCAAAGGGCCTCCAACCTGAAAGCCAAAGATCGATTGACATTCACCAGTTTTGATTAAGTATTAAAAATGGAAGACATTTGAGATTCATTTGAGAAATAACAAATGATGTCAAAAGGGCCTTGAACTCTTGACTCCCGTTGACGTCAATGATCCAGCAGCAAAGCTTGTCGTTGAAGCGGGGCTCACCAACGTTCAACACACCACCTGGCCATTGGATGACACACACATGAGTGTTTCTGACATTTGGGGGCACATTTTTGGTGTTTCTCACATGGGTGTCTCATTTCCACCCCCACCCCTCTATTATTAGCGCAACCTCCCAATATGGAAACATGTCCCAGGACTGTGGCCTCTGGCATTGGCTGCTGGCCTCTTCAACTTTGCAGAAGGCACATCCGAGACATGGGACGCTTGGGAAGCAGGTCTTTTCATGGCGACAGGTAAATATTGGATTTCAAATTCTTTTTTTGCCAAAATCTGCAGAAAGAGTGCCACACATCACGGTTGTGGTGTGACTGTGGCATGTGAGCGGCGCATGCAAAAATGATTCAGCTGGAATCCAAAATGACATTCTTTCACACGGTTCACTCTTGACGGGATAACCGTAAGACTTACGTAGGAGCAGCTTCTTTTTTAGGATCCGCAAAACTCAAGCAGCTGCTAGGTGAGTTCACATCCCTCAATCCACATCCACACTCTGCTTCTCCTTGTCCTTGTCAGTCTGTGCTGGGTCGACTGGTGGATCGTTTGCCTTGCCCTCCTCCTCTTCGCCCTCCTCCTTGTCATCTTGCTGTTCCTCATGATCCTCATTCGGTTCTTCTTCCTGCTCATGATCCTGCGGGGCAGCTGCGCTAGACGCCTTCTTTGGGGCTGCTTTCGGTGCGCTCTTCGCCTTCGGCACACCTCCCGCACACATTGATTTTGACGGATAACACATCAAGTGAAAAATGATGATCTGTCAATTCAATATACTCAGGCCTTTGTACTGCTCCTTGAGTTGTTGCTTCAAGCTGGCCTTGATGGCAGACAATAAACAGGTCTCTAGAATTAGGACATTAGTAGTTTGCACTCACTGACACTTGAAAATTCAATTCAATTGCTTGATCTCTTGGCTTTTGATAGTTGCGCGTGACAGCAATGACTGAGACACAAACACCAATCTCCTTGCACATTGGAATGGGATCTCCTTTCAGCAAGTGTTCCCTAACGATCTCCTCAGGCCAGTGGGGCACAAGTAGTGATGGTGTTACTCAGAAGTGCCAATTTCCAGTCGCAAACAAAACTGCAGAGGCACGAACGACGGCTTCTTTCAGCTTCCCTACTGGAATGGCTTTGCCACCAACCTCAATGACACTTGGCTGATGTTGCAGTTTCAAAATTCGCAATACATGCAAAGTATATATATGTGTGTGTGTATGTATGTATATCTAAAATACATTATGTATAAAATATTTTACATCTGATATAATATGTATATAAAATATATAATATACATATATTATTTAATATATATTATATATAATATTTATATTATATAATATTGATATATTATGTAATAATATTTATATATAAATATTATGTAATAATATTTATATATAATTATCAAATATGTATACATTATATAATATTTATATATTATGTAATCTTTATATATTATACAATATTTATATATTATGTAATACTTATATATTATATAATATTTATATATTATGTAATATTTATATATTATATAATATTTATATATTATGTAATATTTATAAATATTATATAATCTTTATACATTATACAATATTAAATAATATGTTTATAAATAATATAATCATTATCTGTACAATAAAAACCACCCAAACTCTTGTTGTTCAAATGAATTCAAAGATCATGCCAGCTGGGGTAGGCACTGCGAACACTTCTTTGCCATCACATCGGACTGCCCACACGTTGGACTCTCCATATCCATAGACTTGGCTGACCCTGCGGTCACCTGATTTTATTCAAGGTCAAAACATGAAGCTCAGTTGGGAAAAAGCACCAAGATAATTGTGAATGTCAATGTTGCAAAAACACTGAGGTAAGAGTATGACCTCCTGGCGCACTCGCTGCTGCGGGACGCTTCTTCGAGGACTTGCTTGCAGGTTTCTTCTCTGGCGGTTTGCTGGTTTCAGTCTCCTTTGCTTCCTCGTGGTTGTCATCCTCAGCATTCTCCTCAGTTTCCCGGCCTTCATGTGCAACAGCTACTTTAAGTTTCTTTGCAGTAGGCTTCTTTGACGACTTGGCCTTTGCCTTGGCCTTCGCTTTCGGTTTTGCTTTTGACCCTGGCTTCACAGTGGTTGGCTTCGGTTTCGCTTTTGCTGCGGGTTTTTTGTTTTTTCAACAGGACTGATAGCCTCTGCCGCTTCTGTACTGGCGCAGCCGTTGTCCTGCAGAGCGACTTGGCAGACCTAATCTTTGAAGGGCAAATAAACCTTCAAGTCCACAAGTCCCACAATCAAAACAGATTGGGTCGACCCAAAGGCAATGCTGTTCAGGGGTCCTCATCGTCACTTAGCTTGGTAATGGATGGAAGCACACTGGACATGGCGTTCCGAAGCAACCACAAGCCCAAGTAACACCGGGCACCGTGATCAAGAAGAACACTGCTAGCGAAGAGCCGGCACATTCCATAAGGAAGTAAAAGGTATTAACTGATGTGACATTGGAAACCAGAAGCCTATTTCATTCCACGTGCATCAAACCAACATACTAAACTCTAAAGTCTAACAAATTCTATAAGCTGTCATGAAGCTTGCTGCAAGTCTAGCAATCCAATAGTTTTGACTTGAACTGCCAGCGCATTGTTCGGTGAGTCTGCCGATTTGGCAGCTGTCCGAAGCAGGGTAGCCATGCGGTATCATATGTGCTGCGGACCCGACTCTCTGTGGCATCGGGGCAAAATTGTCACAAACGTTTCAAATCAACAGTTCCCAACTGAACCCTGGAAATGATTGAAATTTCCTTCACCAAAGTCAACGCTGCAAATCACTAGATGAGGCAATTAGGGTGACTTCTGCAGCTTCAAATTGGGAGAAATATCTGGAGCGACTTTGTCAAAAAGGAACCAGCAGGAATTACAGGACATGTAATATTAAGCCAATAGATCTGAGTCCTCCAGAAGACGGATTGGCCGCACGGAGCTAACCCCTGTCACGTGGCTCACGTCACCCCAGCTTGCCCAGGACTTGGCTGGAATCTTCACGGAAGCCGTGAGGTAGACCTTTGGCTTCACTGGCATGAGCTTCGGCGTGGCCGAACCAGGTTGGACTTGGACCTGGGCGCCAGAAGCACCCCAAAACATAATTGAGGCATCAATCCACTTTTGATCTTATTGGTACTTTATGTTTGTTTATGAAGTCCGAGAATCTTCCCACAAAAAGATTCTTACTTGTCACTTATTGATCTTATTGGTACTTTATTGTTATTTATGAAGTCCAAGAATCTTCCCACAAGAGTGAGGCATTCTTATTCTTGATCACTCGTCCCATCTGCCCCAAATAGACGGCACCAAAAGATGCTGGCTTGTGGTTTGATGCCTCCATGTTTGCCAAGGGGTTCGGTTTGAAGCAATTGGTTTTTCCTTGATCTGCAATACCCACATCATACCGGTATGGCACAGGTGTCGATTCACCGGCGGCTCCACCAGCAGGATCTGCCTTGGAAGCAAACTTGCAAGGTTTGGGATGTGAATAATAGTCAAACATGTTTTTGAAAAGGTTTTGACCACAAGGTCCAATCCACGCTAAAGGACAGGGCGAAGCTTTTGAGAGCAAGTGTGGTCCCAAATGCCAATCTCGCCCAGGCCACGTTCACGTGCGATTTTGCAGAGAGCCATGCACACTGGCATTGCCTTTTTCTTGTACGCCACTAAATCCATGTCTGACCCCAGGAACCATGGTAGAGAATGTGTTTCTGAATGAGAGGCACCTGAGCATCATGGTTTAAAGCATGGTTTTGATTCAAAGACAGGATGGGCCCAACGTGTTTTTAACAAAAAACATGACAACCAGGCAACCTGCGATCAGTTTGATTTCGAAGGCCCCAACGTTGAAACCGAAAAGCTCTCCTGACGCCAACACCATCTCTTCCTCAGTGATGTTGCCCAAAAACAGCTTGTAGTCTTTGGTGAGCATGATCGAAGGCTTCCCAGCCCTTCCAGGACATGATGCCAACCTGGGCAATCGCAGCCAGAGAAACGTTCACTTCTAACAGGCAGGAGTGGGTTTAGAGCTTCTTGAAAGCAGAATGCGCCCACAAGCATCAGCCAATATCACCGCAAATCTTATAGTTTTGATTGGAAGCACGCAAAAATCACAAAAGACCATTGGAGAAGTTGTTGAATGATTCGGGAAGGGCATGTGCTTTGACACTGATAAATTTTATGTTTGCTGTATCTATTTGGCATCGGCATAAAAATCGCGCAGAAGAATGTCTTTTACTGTGTCGATGCCTGGTAACTGTTGGAGAGACTATGATAGTCGCTGTGCAGTTGAGTAGTCTTTGTGTCTTTCCCTCGCATCAACAGAGAAAAAGGAAAAACATTACATATAGTTGAATTGTACATTCTAACTTGTTTTTTCTGATCTTGACACTGGATTTAACGGATGGCTGGGGAGATGGGCAGCTTGAGGGTTTTTAGAAGGCTATAACAATCACAGCAACAACAGCAATGACAACAGCAGCAGCTGCAGCAATAAGATCAACAGCAATGGCAATATCACCAACAATCATCACACAACCAAAAAAGAAAACATGGCCACACAGCAAAAACCGACAACCACAACCACGAAATCCAAGCAACTCTTCCTGGTTGAATTCATCAGCACTGAAAGTCTCAAGTGACACTTCCCGCTCCAAATCCAGCACATTCTCCCCCGAGAAATCAGGCAAGCCAGTTGCGCGGACAGTCACTGCTGTAGAGGATGAGGTTGCTGTCTCCGGGAACATGCCTATGAGCTGCTCCTTGAACTTCACAATCTCTTTGTACTGCGGGCTTCCCTCCGGGAACTTTGCAATAAGAGCATCAGGAAATTTGGGAGATCCGTTCACCCAGCTCAAAGTGTCCAAAGTTGGGGTTGCGGCTGCATCTCTGACACGTGTTTTGGCCGGAGCTGCCGAGCTGCTGTCCCACGCATTGTACACGTCCTCCTCAATTGATGAAACAACATCCTTTTGAGTGTCCTTGATGACGCCAAAGTATGAAACATCAGGAACCTTGCCACTCAGCTTGCGCTTGACAATAGCCCGTGCAAACTCTGCGTGCCTACATGGGGCAGAACAATGAACAAAAAAGTTTGTCGCAAGTCGGCACAGGGCACACTCCGAAGGCAGCATACACCCTATCACAACATCAGTTGTTTCAACCAAGCCTGTTGGGAAGCACGTCAAACACAATCACCTTGTCTTCTTCTTTCAAATCCAAGCCCTTCAAGTAAGCCTCGATGACTGCAATGTGCACCGGGATCCCTTTCCTGAGGAAATAGCTGGACACGGCCACCAACAACATCCTGTTTTGAAACCGTGGGTCCCAGTAGCCTTATAAAAACTACAATCACAGGCTGAAGGAAATTAATTTTGGGACCCCAAAACAGCCAAGGGTCTGTTCTGCTCGGGCTGTTACACCTGGGCGGTTCACCTCATCATAGCCAAGCATATCACTGACTCTGATCAACTCCAATGGTCCAATCAGAATGGGTAGGCTCCATGGAAAGGTCTTTGAGTCAACATAGACAGCCACACAGCTTTGGAGGCATCCGCGTTTGTCTGATGCATGTGCATCATTGGGTCTGGTCAAGTGCAACCCTACAGCTTGTGAACCACACGACTGTGAGAGCAGGTAATCCTCAATCGTTCTTCGGTGCTTGGTCATTGCTTGCAGAGTTGTGTTCGACTGAGGGATCGGCAATTGGATGTGCGCAATGTTCTGCACCCCGATGTTCAACAAACAGCTCATCGTTTCCAGCGCTCCCTTCATCAGTAGCGCGTTCGAAGGGAAGATAGTTGCGTCCAATGTTGCAATGGTGTACCTTAAGAGGGCAAAACTGATTGACGCCAGAAACATTTACTTTAGTGTTTCATCCTCCAAACATGAAACAAATAAAACAACTCTTTTTTGGTGTCGAAGAATATACACTGACTGAAATCCCAGGAGCAGTGTGCCTTCACCCAAAGTCATATCACTTCTGTGTTGCGCAAACTCCCGCAGCGTGGTGTGCATTGAAGTTGGTTCACCGAGCACAAACCTGCAGTTTTTCCGCATCCACCCTTGGACGTGCTGCTGGCCCTTCCTCAGATGTAGGATCGCACTGATTGAATCACAAACCTATAAAAGTTGAAACTTTAAAAGGAGACCGGGGATGTGGGATTTGAAACATGCAGGAAGCAAAACACACAGCAATTGTTCAACAAGGGTCATTTGACGCTCTTGCAAGTACTTCATGTCCAATGCCGTTTCAACCGCCTCTTTCTCTGCAGATGGAACATGCTTCTTGAGTTCCTCGAAGTCAGCTTCCAGCTTGGCACGGATTTGGTCCATAGTCGCAGCTGCCACACGCTCTGCAAGCTCCCTGTTCTTCTCTTCAACATCCCGCGCATGCCTCTGCGAGATTTCAGCAGCCAAACTCCTGGAACATCGCAAAAAGATCCACACGGTGATATATCTAAATTAAAGGTGAAACCCGAAAAAAAAAGTTACAAACAAATGACATAATGGCAAAAACCACAAGAACTTAAACGCTTAATATCCTTCCATCAAACCCCTCCTCAAGAAACTCACACTGTCCAGGCTGGAGGGGGGCACAGAACTCTCGATGGCATGCAGCAGATCTGGGTCGAAAACTCCCAATGCGAACTGTTGCCTGAGGTTGGCTTCTCGCTGTCGGAAATCGGCTTGGGGCACTTGGCTTTGCAAGAGCCGCACAAAGTGTAGGAAAGCCCCGCAAGCTGCGTGGAGAGAAGAAGCGTCTTTGAACGTCCAAGCTTTTCGCATGGTTGGTGCCTGACGGTCAAAGTCGCCACACATCCGATCGATGAGCAAAGACACTTCAAACAGCTAAGAGGGAAGAAACAGTTGTGAGTCAACACGTTTTCTAGCTGCTAACATAAATCATCACCTAACACATTTTGAAGCAAACACCAACCAAATACTTCCGCTCCAACGTATAATGCAGCAGGGCACGATCTCATTGTCCTCCCGATTCATAAGCTGTGAAGCCCACGGCTCTAGCCCTGCAGTCCCCGTAGTGAAGGTCAGGTTGAACAAGTCACGGGCAATGCATTCATGGTTGAGGAAAGCCTTCATGCCTCGTGTGCGCACTGCATCGCGAAGCTTGATCACCATGTCTTGATGCACTTTCGTGGTCAAATTCAATATTGCGCCAGCTTCACTTTTGCCAATACGAAATACCCTCGCGACTTCAGCTGCACTCTCCCACACCTTGGGTTTGAGCGTTTTCTACATAAATATACTATGTACATAATATAGAAATTTTAATAAAGAAATAAATATATATATTTATATATATTACTTATTTTTTATGTTAGATATATAGAATATATCTCATATAAACATGATATTTATTTTATTTTATATGTTATGAACATAATAATAAACATCAAACATATTTGCTAGGCACGTTTTAAATATATTGTACATATTAAATATTATTTCTATATATATATATATACTTTTTATATAGCTATTTGATGAAAATTAAAGTACCTAAAAAGTAGATGTAAATATGTGTGGTATATACATATTATAATATAACCTAACACAGTTTACCAAGAAATTGCCGGTGGCAAAAACACCATAATCAAACCAAAATCACCGTAAACAGGCGACATCAACGTGCAGCTTGGAAGCCGCTGTTGCCTCAGCAGCCACATTGGCGCGGCTGAGAACCTCATGTTGCCGCAACAGGTTGAAACAGTTCGGCGGACGCCGCAGGGTTGAAGTGATCGAGATTCCTGCCACAAAGTTCGATCATGTGACAGCTCAGAAATAGTCTAACCCCACAAAGTTCCATCATGTACAGCTCAGAAATGAGTCTAACCATTCCAAAGTAAAACCTCAACGCTGAGCTGCCTCGGGCAGCAAGCACTTGATCTTGCACATGGGAGTAGTGCCCAACTGTAGCATAGACAGATCTCATGGAATCCTGGCCGGGATGTGAAACACAAACACCCAGTCGACTTGAGGTGGATTCATGTGTGTGTGCTCTGACAATAATCATGGAGATCTGACCACAGAAGATCAAAACAACGAAAATGGGCTCAGGGAAACTGACATATAGCGCACCTTGTACTGAGGCAGCAGCACTGAATCATCAATGTTCAGCGTTCTGATCGCATCAGCAACGACAAGGCAAGTGACAGAGCGCCTCCAGCCTTTCACATAGGCAACGGAAAAAGGCGGCAGCACATCGCCTCAACACATGGAAATTAGTTCAGAATCAGCAAGATCGCAACACATGGAAATTAAATTCAGAATCTGCAAGATTACGCTTGCCAATCGCAACCCGGAGTCTGCTGAGCAGCGCGCAGGCCAACCGAGGCAATGCCACATACCTCCCCTCCAGGAACGAGTTGTCTGGCTGACAGATTGCCAGGCACTCAACCCCCGGGATCGATGGGTTGGTTCGAAACCTCAGTACCGGATAAAACCGTGCTGGCAAACACCCCATGCCAAATATCTTTCTGAGACCCCTGCCCATGCGCAAGGATGAGCTCTGCCAGCATCACCATGACGTCAGGCTCGATCAGCGACGACAAGCCAAAGTCCGACCTCCATGACAAATGGTAAGGCCGAAGGACCTTCGCTCCCTCGCCGAAGTCATGTGCGTAGGTGTCCCTGACAAAAGGAACCAATGAACTTACAGTGATCTGAATAGTACTGGTGACTTTGGTCGTCACGATCCAGCCTTGTGTCTGCAGGGAAAGCTTGATCTAGCCATTGCGCAAACCCCATTCTGGCATCCTGCACGAAGCACTTTGAACCATGTTGGTTGAGCCTTTCACTGTAGGGAACTTCACAAGCTGAATTTGAAGTTTTCAACGGGGAAGAACATTCTTAAGACAAATTTGGACAGCCTTCGTAGAGTACTTGGAGGTCAGATAGCGGTCCGGGCCACCCGCAGCAACCACACCATCTTTCAGCCTAAGCATGACAGATATGAACAAGGAGCCATTTGACAGCTTGAAGACCCTTGAAGACAATGACTGCTATTTGTCATGTTAGATATTGTCTACGCCAGGAAACCAGTCACAGATTGCTGAATGTGAGGATATTTGCTCGCTTCACTCTCAAGCTTTGAGGCTTTGGAATTGGAAGGTGCACCGCCAGCAGACTTCCGTTTGACCGGCATTGGTGCAATCACAGCGCAACAAGTACGAGCCAATCCGCTTGAATAGCACGTGTTGAATCATGATGTTACGTCAGTTTAGTTTGCAACATGACACGTACTGGCCTACATGCAGTTCAGCCAGATTGCAGTGCGCAAGCACACACACCCCAATCGTTATACCTGCAATCATTACAAGACAAGCAAAGCCACTCAAGACTAAAGATCACAACTTGGTGTTCCTTGTTTTCTTTGTGCAACTCGACTTCCACGGCAGAATCTATGGGATTTTAACCCATACTATACAGCCACGTTTCACCTCCAATTTCTTGGGGGCATCATAGCAGGTCGGCTTGGACAAAACCCAAGCATAAATTGTTTGGTAGCTGGGCAACTTTCGGAAGTCACGAACCTTGAAAATTCTATGCTTCTTCACATTGGCTCTCAGAAACATGTAGTCACTTGTAGTTTCTGGGGGAACAACAACCCCGCCTCGCTGTCTTCCAACCATCAAGCAGCCGGTCAGGTCTACTTCGCCAAGGATGAGACATTCCCCGGTTGGTGATGTGCTCTTGGTGCAGGCGAGAGCAATGCGCCCACACGTGCGGGACGCGTGGCCCCGGATCTCCCAGGTCTTATTGTGGTGCAAAATTTGCTGGCACCAAAAAAAATCCAAAAGCAACGCGGATTTCGGGGACGCCATCTGGTGCCAGCTAGCTAGAACTCAAGAATTGCGGCTAAAGACCTGGTGAATCTGAGACATAAAAGTATATGGTGGTTGTTATTTATGGCTGGGTACACTAAAATTGTGGCCGAAAAATTGAATGGGTTTGGACTGCCTCACTCCCTTGCCACTGTTTGGCCAGGATGTTGCCTGGCCCTGAGATGAAAACGCAGCACCAGGCTTGCACAGAGGACAAGGTCGACATTTCTTTGAATTAATAACAGGACCCATCACTTCGAAATTTCATGCGTCCAACCACTCGAAAGAGTTTGGGTTTGTTGGTTTTAACAAAGTGACGGATTGCGATAGAATCCGTCACTCACGAAATTGTCATGATGATTTTTAATGACCTGATTCCAGAATCTTTGTATTGTCAAAGTGACGGATTCTGATCGGATCCGGCACTCCGCGCGGAAGTGTGACACAAAACTTGTTTGATTCAACATTCGTTACTCATTAAGATGGTTTCAAAGTGACGGATTCTGACAACATCCGTCACTTTCAACAGTCGTCGCTCACAAGTAGACTTGATAGGATGGGTTCAAAGTGACGGATTCTGACAGCATCCGTCACTTTCAACAAGTAGACTTGATAGGATGGGTTCAAAGTGACGGATTCTGACAGCATCCGTCACTCAAGTTAAGATCCCGGTTGATGATTTCTGACAGCACCAGTCACTTGCCAGGTTGCCCCAGCTCAAAAATAGCAGCCAGGCCGAGCTATCCCATCACAAACGGACGTCCCTGCCAAAACCCGTTTTTGTACTGGATCTTAGGTAGGATCCAGTACAAAATGGTGACCAGCATTGAAGTGATGCAATTCCAAAATCACCCAAACTCTGATGTGTAACATCCTAGAAAGCAGTTTGCGCTGGATCTAAGGTAGGATCGGTCACTAATCACACTCTTCCCTCTAAGGAGCAGTTAGTGCTGTTACCAGTCTGGCCAAAATCTGTTTTCGCCGCTTTTTTCTCCAACACCCGACAACCCCCCCCTTAATGTCCATGCCGCACCCCAATTTTTTTAGGGTTTAGGGTTCCGGGTTGATTTTGGCAGTTTCGGAAAATTTGCAAAAATAAGAAAAATGAAGCACGGTCCTTCTATTTTCTTTTTTTTCGAAAATCATTTTTGGTCCAATTTCGACGTTTTTTTTCCTGGTACATTGACCTCTGAGAGCGATTTCCAGGCATTCCTGGTGTGCAAACCTTGGCAACAGCAGCGGAGACTGAGACTGCAAGCCAAGGCAAGGGTGCTGGTAAAGTCAAGAAATCTTCACGATCAGCTGGATTGCAGAAAGCCATTTTGTCACAATTAGAGCTGCAAATCTTTCGAATTAAGCTTAACTTCACATCGTGAATTTCCGTCAGCATGGGGTCTCGTGCTTACCTGCTTGGCATTAGGTGGTTTCATGTTGGAGGGTTTTGCGTTGCATTCATGCTTTAAAAAGTTTATGACACCAGCACTGACCGTTGCCATGCAAACATGCGAACAGCAAAGCGTCAAGGCACTCTGCCTGTGGCCATGCGCCACAAAACACAAAATGCCAAGAATGCCTGAGCTGGGACAACCACGTTGCCCAACATAGCCATGCGTTGGCCATGGTCAGGACCTTTGGCCTTACAAAGCAGGTCATGTGTGGCAACCTCAGATTCCTCATTCCAGCGCTTCTCAGACCAATATGTCAGTGGCGGCAAGCCCTTAGTAGCGAGACGCAGTTTGGGGCTGTGCGACCACACTAGCTCTTAGACATGCTAGGTTTCCGACACTAAATATCGAAGGGTTGGTTTTTAAAAGTTACTTTTAACTTTTAACTCTCTGAAACAGTTTCAAGATGCAGGACGGACAGAAAAAAAAAGCAACATTTGGGTTCGGAAAAATAACATGCAAACAGTTCAGAAACAAGCTTTGTCGCAGCAGGCTCACAAGATCCATACGAGGGACTATATGGAACGTCATGTACAATCATAACACGCTAAGGTTACAACAAGATTTCCTTTGAAGCGGGCCCCAGTTGGGTGAAAGGGGTCCTGGCCTGCGCACGCGAAAGGTCTCTGACCCCTTTCACCCCGAGGATCCCTTTCAAAGGAGATCGTGTTTGTTCATTGCAAATTTCCATTCACCAAAAAGTCCGCCACAGGTCACAAAGATCTAATGATCAGAATCTAACGCTTTCCTCACATTTTATGAAAGATTTTGGGACTTGTGGGGTTGCATTTTTGCGGACCAATCCAAATCGAACTTTAGAAGCCAGAAAAAAATGTCAGACAGTATTGCCAACCGACCCAAAATTCAATCTCAACAGAACCATGCTTCGGTTGGGGTTGAATTTTTAAGCCCCAAAGCCGCCGACAGAGTCTAACATAGCCCTAAAATGGCCCAACAGAGGCCCAACATAGCTTCCAAATGGGCCAACATAAGCCCAAAACCGACCCAAAATATTTCCCAACCGAAAATTTTTCGGTTGGGAAACGTTTTTTCGGCCCGAAAGCCGCCAGCAGAGCCCCAAATGACCCAACAAAGGCCCAACATAGCCCTAAAATGGCCCAACATAAGCCCAAAACTGACCCAAAATTTAACCTCAACCGAAAATGTTTCAGTTGGGGTTAAATTTTAGGCCCGAAATCCGCCAACAGAGCCCAACATAGACCTAAAAAAGGGCCCAACAGAAGCCCAACATAGCCTCCAAATGGCCCAACATAAGCCCAAAACCGACCCAAAATTTAACCTCAACCGAATATGTTTCGGTTGGGGTTTAAATTTTAGGCCCGAAAGCCGCCAACAGAGCCCCAAGTGGCCCAACATTGAAAGGGGCCCTCGGGGTGAAAAAGGTCATCAACGCGCCACGCGCGCACGCCCAAAGAGTACCCAATTTGAAGCCCAGCTCAGGACCCTTTTCACCCCGAGGACCCGTTTTAAGGGGAATTTTGTTTACTAGGTCGAATGCCTTTACCGTTTTTCTTCAAAATATGTTGTAAATATGGCCTGCATGCTCATATCCTCCATCACATTTCCACCTTTAAAACACAAAAAGCCAGACTCGTTGCAAGACCGTTTTCACAAGTGACAGCTCAACCCCGATCACAAGCCAGAGCAGGCGAGCTATTGAGTCTCTATGATTTTCAAGACTAGTCCAGTAATTTCGACTTCTAAGCCAGAATCTGTCCACTGCTGGAATACGCTGTCATCACGGATTGCAAAAAGGAAGACTCGGTGCCGTCCTGCCTGCGCACAGGTGCCAGCCAGACAGGGCAAGATTCGGAAGATTCAAGTTCGGGAGCTCAACAAAATTGAAATCCGGTCCGGTAAAGCTAAAAGCTGGGCACCCGACAGGTAGCCCAACGTTCCTAATCCGGTTGGACGTCCACATCAATGTCAATCCTCGAACTCGGCACTCCTGGAACTAGAACCCCACTGAATGTATGACTGCTGTGTTTTGGTTGCTCGGAATGCCGGGTTGTCTCAAGATTGAGAGAAGCAATGCTATGACTATGATGTAATGGTTATTACATTTCTCTGCAATAGATTTACAATCAGAACTGACGATCATGTGGATACGCTGACCTGTCTTAGTCTCGGAAATGAGTCAACTGTCATATGGCATTTGCGAAGCTCAACCGACAGTGCTCGCCGTTGAGTTTCCAAATTAAATAATCAAATTTCTTGAGGTGAAGGACTGAAATCGCACTGGCCTAAGGTTGGCACTCTGCACATATCTTCTCAATCAGCCAACTGGCAGCAACCAGAGAAGTTGTGCAGAGTGCCTGATGTTTGAAGATAAGTTACTTTGGGAGAGGCTCAATCTACTAATCTACTGGTGATACCTTTTGGGCACGGACACTACGCTGGAGTGACACTGATCACATCTCCTTCACAATGAAGTTGAACAGCCT